TAAATAAGAATAACTGGAGATAGGTTATTGCTAAACTAAGTGTAAAAGACAACGCACCATCAATATTAAACAGATTTCATTAAAAATGATTCTAGAACCATAAATTCGCTTTATATAGTGTATTCGATAAAATCAACGTGTTTAATGAGGAATGCTTTACTAGTAATTATTGTTAAGCAACTAACCTATCTACTTCTGATTTCCTTAAAATTTCAACACTGAAACGTTTGTGATCTACAGGCAAGTCAGGTGGCAGTTCAGGTGCACGTTCGTGCAAAGTAAAAGAAACAGTGATCTTTCCAGTGTTTCTCTTCTCTGTTTTCCTTCTAACTCTTGTAACTTCTGCATGTCCAACCCAAACGGATTCCAACGGCTTAAAATCATGTGAGTTTTTGCTAAAGACAGTGTTTCTTGCTGGCAATGTTGTTTTAAGGCAGAGCCAATCATATGATTTTGCCCCGTTGTTTTCAATTTCCTCGTCATCATCGTCGTCAGAAACTGTTCCTGATAACTCTATATTCCTGACCTCACATTCCGCTAAGCCAAGAGCAAATTTGCCTTTCCTATCTCCAGAAAATTTGATTTGTACATTATTGATGTTGCAAGATTCTTCATTCTTTACAACACCAGTAGCAGATTCCATCAACATCAATGGTAGCCATCTCTCTAAATATACTTTAACCGACTTATACTGATCACATGTCCCACGTGTTGCATATCTGTAAAGGTGTAGAACGGGATCCTCTGTATGTTGCAAACAAAGTTTAACATTGTTTGTCATGTCGTAAAGCATAGGTTTTGGGGCGATCATACCTTTGAATGGAGAACCAGACATCTGAATCTTCAGTTGTTGCCCACGGGAAAATGTCATAGAAAATCTTGTGCTGGGTTGAATATTCAATGGATCAAAGCATTCCGTGGAAACATCATCAAGCCCTTCTCCATGGTATGCTACATTCGCATTTCTAATAGCCCGGGAAAGATCTTCAATATGACCTTCCATGGTGCTTTTTAACATTTTTGCCCATTGATACAATGGGAGGAATAAAACACCTTTGTGAGGATTTAACTTCAATTCATTTCCTCTATCAGGTGGATAGTTTGGACGAATATGAAAGTCATACAGCCTTTTTCTCCATACTGCTCGTACCATATCCCAGTGGGTATTAAGGTCTTCTACAACTTCAGGTTTAGCTACCATGTCTAAATGATTGAATGTTAGTTCTCTGAAGTTTCTTGCTACATACTTCAAAAAGGGAGAGCAAAGCATCACACCTCTTTCGGTAACTTCATCAACATAGCAGTCAATCATCTTTGGATTTGTCTTGTAATCCATTGCCTGTTGTAATGATTTACATCCTTTTTCATATGCTTTTGCACGTTTCGCCACGGAATTTATATGCATGCAAATGTTGTCTATTTCTTCTTTTTCATATGGAGACCTTATTTTTTGAAATACTGCAGCATGGACAAGACGATGTATAATCAAATCATTGTATCTTCTTATTGGAGATGTAAAATGGGTATAGGGTAACATGTCTAGACTAAAGTGTGTGAAATCTTCTTTGCTAGCAAGACTGCCAGAGCATCTATACCCTGCACGTTCTTGGATTGACAACCAATGCTGATAAATCACAAGTTGCAAAGGGTGTATGTCGTCTTTTCTTATGAATTTTGCAGCTGCAATTTTTGGAGATTTAACCATTTCTTCCCAAATTGATTTTGACAGCATAACCTTTTGAGAAGTTTGATTATTCAGGCAATCATAAACGCTCGGACGTCTCGGTCCAAATTGTTTGTCTTGGAATCTTACAAGAATGTCTAAGAACTGATCATTTCTTTTGAAAAATGCATCAAGACTTTCTTTAGAAGGTGGTGGCTGACAGCGCAGAGGAACACAATTCCTGTAAGTCCTCAACAGTTTTTCTGCTACTTTCCTATTGGTCATTATCATAAACTCTTCAATCAAATAATGAGCTTCTCGTGTTTTTTCTTCCGAGCCCTGATCGGTCTCTTCCCAATCAGTATCTAAAGCAAACATGGCATTACCCAACCTGTTTTTACGAATAGCGTGTGCAATTTCGAAAAGGGTCTTAATATCATTTGTAAGTATGTCCTTTCTTCCTTCTGGCGAGGCATATATCAATTCTTGTGCTTGCCCATAAGTCAGTTGTTTTTTCGATTTGATATAAGATTTAATAATTTCCACATTGCTGCCTTCCATACATAGAAGTCGTCCATTACTTCCGATGTAAAAGAAAACAGATATTGTCAGTCTCACTTTATCTTCGATGAGACTGCAAATATTTGAACTTAATGGTTCTGGAATCATGTTCCTAGATTTCCGTATACCTGGATAAAACGTTGTAGATCTGTTTCGAGCTTCTTCGTCCAGCGGAGTGTCCTTTTCAATAAACATTGCAACGTCTGCAATATGGACGCCTACCTTGTAGCCACCGTCAATGACTTCAATACTGAGGGCATCGTCTAGATCTTTGGCACCAGGGGGATCAATTGTAAATGTATTCAATGTAGTTAGATTTACTCTGTCATGAAGCATACGCTCCGGTGGTTCATCTCCGATTTTCTTCATCATGCTTGATACTTGTTCCACTGTCTTCTTTTTGTAAAGAGTTGGTACTTCATGTTTGAGATTTAGTACCATGAGACCAGTTGCAACGCTACTTCCACTTGGCAATCGTTTAATGATCGCCCCTTTAGGGTAGATATGTCGAGCACCCCATTTGATGAAAGCTACTAAGAAAATAACAGAGCCTTGATCAGCTGGATTAACTTCCAGTATTTTGGGATTGCATAATAGTCCAGCCCTTTCATCATATTCGTATATCTCCACTTTGTTTCTCCTGTCTTTTTCATTTCTGTATTTCTGCTTTATCTCTTTATTCAAAATATGAATTTTTGGAATTGTTTTACACATAGGTCGAACAAGATGACTTTCCATACCGTCTAAGGTGCAGATAAAAACTGGATGCTTGGTGTTGTCGTGTCGTTGTCTATTCCATATGCCAATAACTTTTCCGTATCGTTTCTCATCAGAAACATGATTGTCAAGAATTTCAACAATAACCTCATCTTCATTAAAAGCCTGTCCAATTTTTGATCGTCCAGATATTTCAATGACGCTAATGGAATGATGTGAATCAACCGGTGTACAAAATGCATCGTGACATCCTTCTACCTGTATAGTACATTTGATGTACTTCTTCGGATTTTTCAACATCAATTCTTGAAGCTTAGCTTTGTCAAGGAATTCTGTATAAAAATTTTCTCGTTTCAAAATATTTGGATTTGTGTCCTCAAACTGATGCAGGTACGACATATTCAGAGTTATTCCTGTCTTAAGAAGAGTCTCTTCACACTCTGCTCTACCCAGGCTTTCGGATACTTCATCATGTTGCTGGTAGAATCTGCAACTTTGTTCGTAAAATGACATTTGCTCTTGCATGCTGTCTATCTCAGCATCTTGCTCTGAAATCAAATTCAGATCTGGACTTCCATTTCTTGAATGTGAATCATAATTAACACTTTCATCATCGTCGGAGTCACTATCTGATACACTGTATTCGTAAGACGTTTCTGTTCCGAAACCGGATGTATCGGTTGCCGAAGTCGCTGCACTGCAACCACTTACATTTCGAAGTCTTTCGTAAAGAATGTCTCCGCTTTGAAGCCTTTGTGCTGCCATTGTGACTGTTTTGAGTGTAGCCTTATCAGTATTCCTTAAAGAAGAGGATGTCAATAACTTTGTTGCTTTCTTTCTTTCTAGTGACTGCGCTCTTGACATCGGCGTATTGCTTCCAGATCGATCAATCGCTTTTGCTGAAATTTATGAATTCAATCGCATATTTGTTTATTAATTCAATAATAATAATAATAATAATTTCATTAACAAAGGTTTCGTACTAAGTTATTTTGAAGATATAAAGGTTTAGATTTAAAAGTAAAGATTTCAAAATTTAAATACATGATTTTGATCAGTATGTACAAATGTATCATCACGTACGCAATAAGTTTGGATAGTACTTTTACTTATTTATAATGATGTTTATTACTTACGCCTTTTATGCCGCCTTTTCACTCTTCTTGGAGTTGACGCATTTAGTTTACTAGCAGACTCATTCTTAAAGAAAAAAATCACATGTATGTAGATTACGAACTTACACAAATATTTAAGTAAAAACGTGATCAAAGATATAAAATTATATATATATCAATATTTTGTTTTGACAATTATCAATCTGTAGTTTCCACATTTTATTTTTAAGGAGAAAATACTCACTGGAAAATTGACATTTGTTCCCTCAAGCCAAGATTCATCTGGCTCAGTTTGTAAAACTGATGATTCTTCCAACTTCTTGACTATTTTAGCCTCGAAAGAAATAAGTCTTTCTTGGTCGCCCTGATTCTAAGAAAAAAAACGATTAAACTAATTAGAGGAGACAAAACAAATTTCTTGAAGTAAGTAGTTTTATGTCAAAAGATGTTTTTAAGCAAACAGGGGAGATTCATCGAGAGCAAAGAAAACATAGTAAATAGCTGACAATTGCTGACTCGGATTTAAAGGGACAAATTGGGAGAATTTATAAGCTTATACATCTCAAAACCATATAATTATATAATTATTTCTAAAATGATACTTGAATACATAGTTTCTTCAATATGTTATTAATTTTAATTTTAATTCGAATTAACCATATCTGACAATATGTATTTTTAATTGTTTAATATATATTAACTCCTTTGATTTCTTGGAAAATAGCACAAACACTTAGATTTAATATCACGTTACAGATTAAAGTTCGCTATCATATTTCGCATAAACAGAAATATTCTATGAGAAGATAAACAAGTGCAATTCATACCGAACAGTACTTCAGGGCTAAGTTGTTTTTCTTCAAAGCAAGATCGTAATCGCCTGTGTTGTACAAAGACCTTGCCCAAATTTCCAAAGCCTCAGAATCGTCATAATCACAAACGTACTGCAATACTGCAAAATTAAATTGTGATATTACATCAAAATATTTTTGATTTCAGCTTGATGTGTTATGACTGTATCGTTTAAAATAGGCAGAGAGTGTTAATATAAATGATATATACATCTGAACAGTGAACAACATATAGACTGATTAAACGGAATCATGTAAAGTTATTCATTGGGCAACAACAGTGATTTTTACGAACAAAAGTAAAAAGACATAAAAAGTACATGTAGAGGTAACCACACTAGTAACAACGACAGAAACAATGCAAGTCTCTTAAAAAGTTACACGTGTAAGACACTTACTTGTGCTGCACAACTTTCTAACCTCCTGGTGTAAGTTCTGAAAGATAAATTATTTAATCCAGAATCTCATGAATTATTTTGTTCTGTTTTTGAGTTTAATTATTTTACGTATCTTTTGAACTTATTTACTACCATATTATATCGACAAAGCGTCAAAATCAAATTAAAGGAACTCCACTGAGGTTTATCAAGCTGAAAACAAACATTTTAATTTTTCACATAGATAAACATGAGCACTTTAAACAGAAATAGAAATTAAATATAAATCAGAAATATACAAGAAATACATTGGAAATCGTATGTTTGTGCTATTCTCAGTCCGATTTGATTGAAAAGCGTTTAGAAATTTTGGGTCATTTTTCACTATTGTAATAATTTTTCTGGAAAGCGGAGCGAGCTTGTTTGTTTGTTTGTTTGGATTTTTACGGCACGTCAACACATAACTGGCCATATCGTGCCGAATGCTATAATAGGCGATCTAATGATCTGAAATTTTGCACATAAGTCATTAGCATAGATCTTCATCAAATGGAGCAATAATCTCAAAAAAAAAATATATTTCCAGTCCCGTCATGTCAAAAATCCTCTGTGGAGTCCCTTTAAAGGCTATTTAAAGCAGTTTGAAATATTCAAAATATAAGAAATATTCTTCACAACATTTTTAATACAGATTAATTTCAAGAATTAAATATGAAAATGTAATTCAATGTTTTTAAAGCTTCAATTAGTAAAATGACTAGTCAAACGTGTTGTTTTTTATAGTACAACTTATTCATAGCATCATGATTTTGCTGCTATGCCGATGAATTTATTATTTTTTAGTTAAATATATTGTTTCATTTAAAAGTAAATTGTATAATTATTATAAAAAGCTAACTGAAACAATTCATTTTTTTAGATAGGTTGCACATTACCTACACTTTTTTCTAACTTAATTTACCTGATTTAGAAAGTAAGATTTGTTTTATGAAATGATTTGAAATAAGAAATCGGGAAATGAAAGAAAATATTTTTTTAACATTTCATGAGAGTTAAATATTATTTGATCAGGATACTTTCTGACGAAAATATATGCTACATGTATCCGGTAGATAATTTTTAGTAATGAATATTATATATGCTAATTGCGGGCTCGTTGGAATACAATTGTAGCGATACAAACAGAGGCAAATAAAAACAGCAGACTCGTGTTACGCAGTAATTTATAATATAAGAACGTGCGGGAAACAAGGAACAACATTTTATTCAGCAAAATGCATTTTTATTTTATGCATTTACTATGATATTTATAATCAAATTCATACCAGTTCAAGATAGCATCTTGCTATTCTCCACATTCCTCTTTTACGTCCTGGATGGTCGATAATAGCTCCTTGCAAATAGCCCAAGTTCCTGAGCAGAGTATACACTTTATTTACATCACCATCTATAGCTACGCACACTGACCATCTTTTCCGCCTTTCAGCAAGTTTAGCCAACGTGTCTAGTTCAGCAAGAAGGCTCCTGATAGTCTGTAAAATACAGGCAAATGCTTTATAATAAAACATGTATGAATTGTCATTTCGACTTGTGTAATTATTTAACAACAATACATCTGCTCCTTACTCACCCAAATGAAAATTATATCAACTTCATCTCGAAGTCACGTGCTAGCACTATAAATTCTATGAGAAAGGTAGAAATACATATTTAAGTTTCATTCTTCGACACATATTTTTTTCATTAAAGACATGCCATAGTCTTATTTGTGACGTGACTTACTTTATTGACAAAGTTATGAAGTGATCAAATTTTATAGCAGTATTATTTCTAAAAAACATTCTCCAATTCTAATTTATCTTATTAATATAATAATCTAACTACTTTTCTCAATCATTACTTCTCTAATTAGCTATATGTATTTCAATACTTCCAGTTTTCTTCTTTATTCAATTGCCATTACAGCATTACATGTTATTTTTAACAAGACCCTGTGTTACGACCCTGTCTCCAACATTATTACTTTTTCTCATATCCTCTATATTATTATTTCTCATCACCTTCACTACAGTCTTTCACCTCTCTAGTCATACATATCTACATTATATAACTTTTTGTCATCTCCACTTCTCTCCATTTTTTCTTGTTTCTATCTTAAAATATCTACACAATTGCTCCTTGTTACCTCTACTTTCCTTTACTTTCCCATCTTTCTATCCCTATATATCTAGACTAGTACTTTTTGTCATTCCCATTTCATTTCTTTATTTCCTTCCTTCTATCCAAATAAATCGATATTATTTATCTTGTCATCCCTACACTTCTTAATTCCTTTTTTATCTTTACATATTTACATTATAACTTCTCATCCCTATTAATCTGCATTCCTTGATCAGTGAAATACATACATAAATCTAGAAATGTGAATATTCTATTTACCTGAAGGTTTCCAAACACAGAAAATATATCATTTTCAAAAACAATGGCATCCCAAAGTACTTGCGCAACGGCCGTATGCTTTTGAAAGTTCCATTGCTGGTCAAATATGGTAGCTGTAAACATAAAAATAAATTGTCCAGTCTAAGAAAACAGTTCCCTTTTTGGTCTTTTTATGGTAATTTTCTTTCATTGCTTTGCCAAAAATTTATTTCAATTATAATTTCCTTTCATTTCTTATGTCAAATGATAAAATATTTGATCGTAATCTTAAAGTTGTGTTTATAATTAGTACTCAATGTGGCATTGTCATGTCGCATCTGTACCTACTAAAATGATAAGATCTGTCCACCGTTTCACCAGTTTTTTTTAATCTGATTTTTTTGCATTATTTACTGACATGCACTAAACAAAGAAAAGTTGAATCGACATAGAACCCCTTGCCATTGCCACCATCAATTAAAATAGCGCCGCGGACGTTCAAATACATGTGATGAAGTTGATGTGTGGTTGGATACTAGAGAAAGGTTGGTACCAGCTGGAGTTAGACGTCTGATGAATGGATAAGCAACTTAGGTCTTTGTTCCCGGTAAAAATGGAAGTTGTCAATGTAACAAACAGCTTAACAAAAAAAGCTTAAAAAAATTACCAACCTGTGTAAAAACATTTTGCCGCTGTAATGAATTCCTCGATCTGAATATAAAAGCAAAGTTAGACATAATAAGAGTAACTTGACGTGAACATTTCATAGTTCTATATAATTTACAAAAAAAATAGTTCTGTATAACACAAAGTATTTTTATCAGCTTGAAAGTTATACGAGATGTCAGTTTTTGTTACTCCCAGTAACCATTCGCCTATGCAGTTGGGTAAAAATGTGTAAGTGGTTTGCGAAGCTTTTACGCAAAAGAGACGATCGTGTTACAGATAATATATTATCATTTATTTATCACAACTGATTCGAGCGATCATTGTGGAACGTTATCATTTATTTTAGAATATAATTGTAGTGTGTGACTTGCCAAAGTGATCTAATTAAGGTTCTTATCAAACAAGCACATAAGCACATAAGAAACAAAACGCGTACAATATACATACTTGAGAATTATAACTACAGGTCTATATCGAGTTTCGCTTTGTAGGCATTTATAATGGACAAACGTATGCTATGCACCTGATGTAGCGCAAATATTTCAATGATATAAGCTATGATGACGGGAGATTTTTTTAATGCTTATGTTTATCAAACAAATATCTTTTAAAGATAAAATGAAATTTATTACACAATTTTTTTTTCAATGTATATTGAAATTATATATGAATGTGTATGAGTGTGTAAAATACAAAAAAAAAAAATAAGATTACCGTGTTCAGAATAAAGGAACACTCGCCGTACCAGTCGGCTAGTTGCTGTTCGGTGACCGTAACATGTAGTCCGGTAAGGAATGTTTCTTTCTCGTTGTTTATACCAATAATAGCCTGTAAAGCAAATCGTTTGGCGTTTTCTTCATCGCCTTCCGCCAAAGCCTCGTGGCTTTTTTCTATTAAACCAGATATATTTTTAGCCTCCATCTGAAAAAAAAGGATTTAAATTCAACCTGATTTTCAATTCGCCCATCGATGTTTTAACGTTTGCTTAGCTCAAAATTGGAAAATTAACCGCGTGCATCAATTTATAAACATTCGCTTTATCTGTAAACAAAAGATAAAACTGTTTTATCATTTTTTATCATAACTGCCTTTCACTCAGATGTATCAATAAGGAATTTTTGACAAAAAGATATAGAGGATGATATTGTTTTCAATGACCAATTATCATCTAAACTATCAGTCATGGAACTCTGTATCTTTTAGACTTTCCTACTAATTACATATATTACCTAAGTTTTATACATATATTTAGCTCCTAATAATATGAAATACAAAAACAACACATTCTATTTGGGAGATTCTAATCTAGTATATGTATTTATTTCTATTATTGGATTTAACTCCTATGATAATAAGAAATTTCAAAACAACACATTCTATCAGAAGCAACTCTAATCTATTGTACATGTAATTATCATTTTATTTCTATTATTGGGTCGTGATTATTGGTGTAGCAGCACTATGTAAATAACAATTATACAAATAAATACTAAGCAGCTTCCCTATGATTAAACTACAATTATACGTTGGCAACTTGACAACGAAATAACATTGAAATATCGTAATGAATTACCGTTAATTATGTTATTATGTTTTTTCTTATCTATTTTCGTTTATAATAATACTTGTGATTAATGATGATTTTCATCTATAAAAATAACAATAAATAATAGTTATAATAAAGATGACGATAATGATGATACTGACGATGATGATGATTATTATTATATAGATGATGATGATGATTATTATTATTATATAGATGATGATGATGACGATGATGATGATTATTATTATATATATGATGATGATGATGATGATGACGATGATGATGATGATGACGATGATGATGATGATTATTATAAAGATGATACTGACGATGATGATTATTATTATTATATAGATGATAATGACGATGATGATGATAACAATTATATAGATGATGATGATGACGATGATGATTATTATTATTATATAGATGATGATGATGATTATTATAAAGATGATGATGACGATGATGATGATTATTATTATATAGATGATGATGATGATGATGATGACGATGATGATTATTATTATTATATAGATGACGATGATGATTATTATAAAGATGATGATGACGATGATGATGATTATTATTATATAGATGATGATGATGATGATGACGATGATGATTATTATTATTATATAGATGGTGATGATGATGATGTTGATTATTATTAATATAAAGATGATGATGATGACGATGATGATTATTATTATTATATAGATGATGATGACGATGATGATTATTATTATTATATAGATGAGGATGACGATGATGATGATTATTATTATATAGATGATACTGACGATGATGATGGTTACAATTATATAGATGATGATGATGACGATGATGATTATTATTATTTTATAGATGATGATGACGATGATGATTATTATAAAGATGATGATGACGATGATGATGATTATTATTATATAGATGATGATGACGATGATGATGATTATTATTATATAGATGGTGATGACGATGATGATGATTATTATTATATAGATGATGATGACGATGATAATCATCATCATCTAAATTTTGAAGATGGTGTATATGATAATGATAATGACGATGTTGATAATTCTCATCACTTTAACAATAATAAATCATTTACATCACCTAGTCCTATAACATAAGACGTTTCCGTTAACACTGCATACACTCCAACGTCTTATCGACTTCTTCATAAGTTCCTTTAGCAAAACGCGCAGCGATTTTGAAGCGCTATATGAACCGTCGTAATTAACTACAAAAACAATATTTTGAGTCAAAAGATATGCAGACAGTAAATTTAAACATTTTTGCATCAATGTGCAGCAAAAAAAATAAATGACTCACCTTCGAATGTAAATAAATCCAATTCAATACAATTTATACCACTTTATACATTAATTCGGCCTTATAACCTGTATACATGTGTGCGCGTTTTGCTAAAGGAACTTATGAAGAAGTCGATAAGACGTTGGAGTGTACGTAGTACTAACGGAAACGTCTTATGTTATAGGACTATTACATCACCCATTCTTATTCATACAAATTGTCGAATTAATAAAAAAAAAAAAAAAAAAACACACACACACAAACTGTTGTCTTTTATACAAAAAACAACAACAAAAACAAAAAAAAACAAATTACAAAAAAAACAAATAAAAAAGAAAGAAAGACAACTACAAAAACATATACCACACAAAATCGCAACATGAATAACTTGATTTTTACTACCTGTACATTTAAATCGTGGTAAAAAGGTTAATGATCCTAAACATATTTATCCCCAACTATCAAAGGAGAACCTATGTTATTATGCACATTATAAAAAATATATCATTTATATGTCTTCAAATTAAATTGATTTACGGAAAATTCAATGCTATTCTCGGAAGTACAGATATATTTATCCAATATTTTGCGCATTAACTTTATGTTTACTTTTTAAAAATACAAAAAGGACAGGTTCAATGATTCAGTCCGCTTATCAGTTACTGTGTGATACCACGTGACGTTGAATCGATTGTTTACTAAACCACCCGTCATTGTGTTACAATGACAATTAGATAATACAGATATGCCACTTGTTAAAAGTTAAAAAAATATAATTTCGGGAAAGTTTGGGGT